AGCAGGAAAAGGGTGGGCTGCAGCAGCCCAGCTCAGGAGACTCATGGTAAGCTACAGGTGATGCCTGGGGCAATGATTTATGGGCTGTCTCTGCCTCAGGTGAGCAGGTGGGGTTCCCTTCCAGCTGCATTGTAAACAGGTAGTGCCTAGAGCAGAGGTCTTGGCTGTAAAGGTAAATGATTGCTTTTTACCGCGCTAAGCTCTGGCTGGCTCAGCAGAGAGCCATAGCCCAACTTCTGCTCTTAAGGCAGCTCTCCCTAAGAGGTAGGTGCAGGCTGGTGCTGGGAAACCCCTTGCTTGCTGCTGCCCAGCATCCTCAGAGCAGGTGGTCCTGCTGCTATTAAACAGCCTACAGAAACCAGGGAGACTGAGCAAGCCCTGAGATCCCAGGGGGGCTGCTGCTTGCTGAATGTGGCCAGAATGCCTCCAGGTCCTGGCCAAGATGCTCCCCTGGCTCCTGCTAATGGGGAAATGTTGTTTGCCACCTCCATGCTGCTTTCTGCAGTCTGCTCCCTTCCCACTTCCAGCCTGCTAAATAGGGGCTCCATCCATGTAGGCAGCAACAAGATAAGAGATGAGATAATGCTGGTCCCACGCACTGCTCCTGTCAGCCTGCAAAGCTCGCTGTCGTGAGACAGTGCTTGGCAGCAGCTCAGCAGTGCTGGAATGAACTCAGCTGGGTTTTGCCACGGAGCAGCCAACTTCTCCTTCCTCCAGTGTCATCTGCCTGCATCAGCCAGGCCCGCTGCTGGCTGCCTGGGGCTGGGAGCCACTTCCCTTCTTACTGGATTATTCCTCTGCCAGCCAGTATGTGCTACCTTGCTTCTTCTCCAGGCATGTGGAGGTCCTTATCAGGGACAAACACAGCACTAGATGGGCCATGGGATCTGTCTGCAAATGTCCTCAGTGCCTCAAAAGCTCTGTGGTGCCATGGCGAGAGCTTGCAGAGGCCGTGCTTGTCCTTCGCCTTCCCACTGCCCCTTTGCATTAGCATTCATGGCAGCTCTGTTCACGCTTCGAGGGGAACACGCAGCCCCATGCTGCTGCTGTGAAACGCAGGGCTCTGCGAGACATGCGCCTGCAGTAAGACATGGTCTTTTGAAATTGGATACCACTGGGGCTGCAATGTCCCAGTTTCTCTTTGCTAACGTCCCCGGTTTGGTTTTTCCCGTCTGCTTTTTTGGCCGCCTGCAAGTTGGCAGCTCACGTCTGGCGTTTCTCTTTGGTGCGTTGTGTGTGTGTGTGTGTGCTTTTCCTTTACTTCATGGACTCAGCTGTAGATCCTTGTTCTGATTCCATACAAAATGACCTAGAAAACTAATTCTTTTCAAACTATTGCAAGAAGAAAAAAGTGGAGGGGAGAAAACACATTGAAATCATTTTCCAGAGACAAATTTTCTGGAATTCAAACCCCAGAAATCTGCTTTAGTGCAACACTTCACATCTCTCTTGCTTTCCTTCCCTCACCATTTTCTGGGGTGAGGGGCAGGAAGAGGTTTGCAGAAATCCAATGGCAATGTCATGACAGACAAGTATTTCCTTAATCAAGAAAGCCAAGTGACCTCCGTTAAAGCAGAGGATATGGGCCAGACTTTGATATGTAGATAAGCTCTGAAAATGTTTCCATTACCAAAAGAAAAACATCCAGGCGCCAAGCTTGGAAATAGCCCGTGCTATTTGCATGGTAAAGGTAAAGCTGCCTCCGACAGGCAGGGTACTGCCTGCTGCTGCCTCTGTTATTCTTTTCAGGTGTCTCAAATCTCCCCTAATCTTTTCCGAAGGCTCCAGCTGGGTGAATCCCCAGGCTCGGGGACCTCAGGCCCCACAGTCGCTGCTCCCCCAGGACCCCTGTCGCCTCCTGCAGCGCAAAGCCTCATGCAAAGGGCCGGTTCTGCTCGCATCCCAGCTGCTCCTGGCAACTCGTCTGCACAGATCTGTTCCCTACTCGTGTATTTTACATTGGGTAAATTTGGTTAGAGCTTACCCAAGGTGTCCAGGCACTTTCTTCAGCCATTCACATTTCTCATTGTAGTTCTGTGTACGTGCAAATGCCAAGTATATTTCCTTCATTTCAAACTTCTCAATAGGGTTTGTCAGATTTATTCTTTTTCGCCCGTTCCTGGTGTCGCGTGGGAAGCAACACCCTGTCTAGGCTAGCCTCGAAGCGTTATTTATGCTCACGTCTGTGCCTTTAGTACTGAGCTGTGGTGGGCATGTAATCCGGCTTTCCTCTGCTTTGTCTCTCAGCCCATTAGTTTCTTTTTTACATCCGTTTGCAAAAGACCTCTATAAATTCTTTAAATGTCAAGTGGTTATGGCTTATTCCCAGCTGGGCTGATTCATTCCTGGATGTTACTGAGGTTGCATTTTCCTTGCAACTATTGGCTTTTCCTACAACCTCAGGCTTTTTTAAAATGTTTTTGTCTACCCTGTAGCCTCAGCAGCTAAGCCAGAAGCAGAGGGCATGTCTTATCTGATAACCTAATCACTGCCTCTTCTCTTAACTGCAAGTCCAAGAGTTTTCTTTTCAGTTTTCTTTTTAATTTAAAAGGACAAAATCATACATAGGTCTCCTGAGGCCCTGGACTCAAGGGATGGGGTGGAGGGATTATCTCTAATCTTGGCTCTCTGTGTCACCATCCTCTTGGATCAGCCCAGGTGGGAGCGACGGAATCCCACAGTGCTTTTTGGCCACTGGGAAGTGAGGCGGGGGGACGAATCCAGCTCCTAAAACACAGTAGGGTCATCACAGAACACCATCAGAGCAGACAGTAATGGTTGGTCTTATTGGCACCCTCTGGGGAGGGACAGAAGGAATAAGGCTTGAATTAGCACCTTGGGCACTGGCCAGTGTCTTGCTTCAAGACAGTCCCTTGGCAGGCTGCTGATGGGGCAGCGTAGGAAGCCACTGTGACCACGTTTAAATAAAACCATTTCTAGTGAAGGGCTGTCTTGTAAGTTCAGACCCGGTCGAGAGAAGGGTCCCGCTCTCGGTGTGTCCATGGGCTTCCTATAATATAAATATTAGTCCTTGGTCTATTCAGCAATCACTGTCAGCCCCAGCACAGATTTTGGCCTGCCCTTGATTTAGTGCATGGCTTGGAACAGGCCCTACTGCAAAATGAAAGCGTTGCCAGTTGGAGAAATTAGAATTACACTGTGGGGCCCTGGTCGGTGGAAGGACTACGCATGGGACAGCAATGGGTCCTAGCTCCTCCCGAAAGATAACAAGAGCCTTCCCACCATGGACACAGAGGGGCAGGCAGTGCTGAAACCCATGGTCTTAAAATGAGCAAAAGCAACAATTACCATTTGCATTTCTCTACAGCATCCATCGTTGTGTTTGGTGCTGCTTGGTTCCGTCTTTTGTAGGTGGATCCACAGATTTCCGTTGGCTTTTTTCCTAGCAAACGCTGCATGACAGCTCTGGGGCTGGCCCCAGGCCCTGTGCGAGGATTTGCTTTTCGGGGTGCTCGACCAGTGCCCATCCCTGCCATCAGGGGACCGTGAGGGGTTTGGTCTCGTTTTGAAGCCATGCCCCTATCTAACAATGCAGTTGCCTGACCAAAGAGACTGCCAAAAGCTCGTAGCAAGGCTGAACGCAGCTGTCCCGACGGCTGCCTGTCTCCGTCCACCGCTGGGCCCCAGTAAACCTCTGTGGTCTCCTTCTCTTCGCAGACGTGCCGCCGATGCTGCCAGTGGACCTCAAAGGGGAGCCAGGACCGCCAGGGAAGCCAGGCCCACGCGGGCCCCCCGGCCCCCCCGGCTACCCAGGAAAGCCAGGCATGGGGAAACCAGGAATGCACGGCCAGCCCGGGCCCGCCGGGCCCCCCGGCTTCTCGGGGATTGGGAAACCAGGCATCCCAGGACTCCCAGGAAAAGCGGGTATGAAAGGGATGCCCGGAGCCAAAGGCGAACCCGGCATGAGAGGAGAGCAAGGGCCCAGAGGACTGCCAGGCCCCCCAGGACTGCCGGGGCCAGCAGGCATCTCGGTCAATGGGAAACCAGGCCCTCAGGGTGGTCCGGGCCTGCCAGGGTTTCGGGGTGAGCCTGGCCCGAAAGGGGAGCCCGGTCCTCG